TTTTTTTTTTTTTTAAAGAAGGAGAATACACATCTCAAACTTAATTACACACTTGGACATTATTATCCAAGACCCATCAGATGACTCAAACTCCAGAAGATGCAAATTACTTTAAGTATACCACGGTCCGTGAGGTACAAGAGTACCATATGCTGCTACGCATCAAAAAAAGAGTACCAAATGTTGCTGATGCAGGACGAATACTTTTCTTCTCCCCTGAATTCGTCCCCATCGTGTTTCAACTGAAAGCTTTCTTACAGGGAATCAGTCGCATCAACCTCTCGTTGGAACAGTGCCTCAGTTTAGAGAAGTATTCAGCACATTCTGCTCCTGATCTTTGATCCGGAACATCTGAAATGCAGTTCCTCCGAACATCAAGCTTCTTCTGCTTTATTAATTTCCTACATTCAGGTCCGACCTGCATAAACAACAAGAGCTTTAAGTGAGCTAATATTTAAGAATAACAATGCAAACATGTATAATAACTATGTATTCTAATTTTTTTGGAGATAAAAAATAAGAAAAATAAAAAATTGATTCAACCTGAGTGAAATAGTTATCTGCGAGAGACAGTTTTGCAATGTTAGGGAGCCTGCAGACAATCTCCGGAACCCTGCCGTACAATTTATTGGAGGCCAGGTTCAGGAGCTCCATCTTTATCAAGCATCCGAAGGACCGAGGAATCGGACCTGTTAAATTGTTGATGCTAACATCGAAGACAGTGGCCTTGTTCAGGAAGCCGATTTGATGCGGCAAGCACCCTGAGAGGTTGTTGTTCAAGAAAAGTACTTCTAGGAGGTTCTTGGCGCTGCCAATGCTGCTTGGAATCGTACCTGTGAAGTTGTTGTTAGCAAAGGTGAGGAACAGCGCCGTTGTGTTTCCGATGTTCCTGGGAAGCCTCTGGGTGAAACCGTTGTTGTTGATGAAGAGAACGTCAACGTCTAGATTGAATGCCTTCCTCGGAATCACCCCTTTAAAGTTGTTGAACCTCAAATCCAAGAAGGTTAGGTTCTCGGCTTTGGTCACTTCCATCGGAAAATTGCCGCTAAGCATGTTGTTGCTGACATCAAGCTCGTACAGATACTGGAGTTTTGATACATTTAGCGGTATAGTCCCTGGAAAGAACAGAGCCAGAGTCTATGTAGAAACAGAGTGAAAAACAGAGTACTCCATGTGTTATACAAAATTATAAATTATCAGTACCTTTGAATTTGTTTGAATTTGCGTGAAAAATGGCTAATTCGTTTAATTTCTCCAGGAAGTCATCGAGACGGAGGTCTTCTCCTTCAAAGTTAGCGCCATTAAAATCGACTGCGGCGAGGGCATTCAGTCTCCTCTTGTCTGGAAGTCTTTCACACGTAAAGCCCATGTATTTGCAGATATCTGCGCCCACCCATGTTTTCTTGAAGCCGTGTGGGTCCTTTTGGATTCGTTTTGCAAATCTCTGTACTGTGTAATAATCTCTTTGGAGTAGTGGGTTTTCAAATTTTGGCGTTGTCTGCAGAGGATGCTGTGGCTGTAACCGTGGCGGCCGAGGCAGTGGCTGTGGAGATAGGGCAAGGGAAGTGCCTCCTCCACCGATAATCACTTCAGTTGCTTCCCTCCCCGTCCTTGTCACCACATCACCGCCCCCGTCCCCGGCCTGCCGGCACATACCGGAATGAAAGTTGAGAGAAATAGAGAGGAGAAATGAAGTAAAAAAGCATGAAAAAGCACCCATTTCTTTGTTTCAATTTGAGCAGGTAAAGGAAATCAAACAGGCACATTTATATGCAAGAAAAGGTGCAAATCAAGATGGAGAAGACGAAGCGCCAATCACTTATTAATTTATTGGTAAGTAAGTGTTTGTGTTGTGTCTTTTGTACTAAACTTATTACTATTTAAAAGTTATATTGAATTTTAATTTATTTAGAATTAAATCATGTTAGATTTCATAAAAGGAAATCTCTCTTAACAACTGTTTTTTTGTTTATAAAATTTAAATTCAAGATTTTATTTAAAAAAATTGAGTTTTTTTTTACTTGGATCAATAAATTGTCAATAGTAAGTATTCAAAAATAATTTTTTTAAATGCATTAGATTAATGTGAGGATATAAACTTACAATACTCAAGAAGAGATTAATATCAAAATATATTAAAATTTACTCAAAAATGCTACTTAAAATCTACTCTAACCTCTCTCTCTCTCTCTCAAGAGAAAATGTGCAGAAAGTGATATGAACTTTGTCATTTTTTATTTAATGATATAAACTTTATTAGTTTTTAAATAATATATTAAACTTTTATCTTTTTTTATTTAAGAATGCTAACATTGCAAAACTTAGAATGTCTCTTATGCCATGTA